AATATAGTGGATCATTTAATCAGAGCTTTACCTTTTGGTCAGTATTCAAAGTCTAACTTTTTGTCCTGTTCTTTAATCATTACTTGGACCCACTGTATTATCATCAGTACTCAAACCTGTATTTCGTGATCACTAGTTAACTTCATAATTTTCCAATTAGTACGCGAACGGACGATCTTTTTATCAAATTTCTTCAAAGTATCAAAAAATAGTCTAAATATCACTCCTTCATTTTACAGATGTTCGAATCTGCTATCAGTTCAACAGTACAGGAGCGCACTATTATTTGATCCGTAATCGAGTTTACTATCCATGGTATCTTACTCGATCTCTCTGTTATTACATTTGTCTACATAATACTTTCTGTTAAACTGCAGTCTATTAACTAATAAGAGTTTTCTAACTTACCATTTTGAGTTCAATAATCGGACTCGCGCGAATTTGAATATACTCGATAGAAGAACCATTTGATAATTTATTTCATCTTTTTTTGTGCCTACTGTAATTTTGCATATTCATTAAACCGCTCCAAATATTAACTTTTTAATAAGTCTCATTTGTTAAACTCTAACCAAAAACTATTTATCAATATTCTATCTTGCTCAGATGCGATCAATCGAATGTTAAGCGTTCTTATTATCATGTGAAAATGTTTCTAAAACAATTTTGATTAACTCGAGATTTCTATTCATGCCTAATATCAAAGCAAAACTGAATCATTTTTTTGTTAGTTACTCAAAACGATTAATTCTTTAACGGTTACTGAAACTTATATAAATTGAATTAGTAAGCTGTCACACATTATTTAATCATTATTTAAACCTCGCCTGTTAAATTTTTAAACTCTGTTAAACCACTTTCTAATGGTGCCCGAACCCTTCAACTCAACCTCAGCTCTCAAACCTGCTACCATATGTTCTCAAGTTAGCTACTCAAACCCGCTATTATATGTTCATAGTCAAACCTATGATCAATTGAGTACTTGTACTACAAGAAGAAGACCTAACACATGTGAACTAATGACATGAGCGCTAACTAATCTTAATGAGCAAAAGGCCACATCAAAGTTAAGTTTTTCTACATAAGTAAGAATGTTGATTATCTACCGAACCGTATCGCACATCGAATTAGTAGAAATATATTTCTTTCTCGTCTACTTATTTTATTATTTGTTTGCGTATTTTATTATAACCATGATATATTTATGTTTTGTGTATCTGGTAATGTATAATAAGTCTGTTTATGTTCTACATGTCTTTGTGTTAACTTTCCGTGTAAATATAAAATGAAAGAATTGAAACCTTTGTGTATTAACTTAGAATGCGTTACTGAAGAGAATTGATACTTGATGTAGTTGAATACTCGAAATAGAATGGAATGCACAGTTGCTACTAAGTCACTTGGCATTGAAGAAAGAACAATCGAACTGATAATAGTGTTATGTCTCTGAGTAAATATATAGTGAAAGAATTTAAATCTTTGAGAAAAATTCTTTGTTATAACTTAGAATGTGTCACTGAAAATAATTACTTACTTCGACAATTATTTTCCTACGTAGCTAAAAATTCCTGTTTTCGTTGTGAAAGTAGACACACACACAAAATATATTTTACTTACATCAACTGGTTTAGCATTCACAATATATCATCATAGTATACAATATATCATAAAGTATAATATCCAATTTTTCTTGATTTTTTAGTTATTTTAAACTAAATATAGCGGAACAGATCCATCTTGTCAAACGTATGAGATGAATGTTAGACACTGATCCAGCTTCCGCCATTGTGTCATAAAGCAAAATACGAAAGTTGATGACTTTAAAAGAAAGTTCTCTCTTCCGGTTTTTCCTCGAGATTCGAAAACAACTTATCTTCGCCATTTCTGTAGAATTTCTTCTCACTTTTGATAGGCTTTTTCCAACTGATCTATTTTCCACTAAATCCTTGTGTTATTCTGCATACTTGGAGAGAAAAAAAACTGAGGATTCATCGTCAGAGTGGGGTTGCCTAGAATAACACGAGAAAAGTTTCAGTACACCCTTTAAGAACTTCCTAACAAAAGATTTACTGATGTTGCATAGGATGTATTTAACTGCGTCTGTAGACCTCGAGTGTCCCTAATCCCCTAAATGTTCGGTTGCAGCATTGTTAAGATTTTCTAAAAAACGCATCTATGTAACAGCAGATGTGTACTATAGTTCGTTCACCAGGAGCTGACACTTGGCTCCACCTCCTCGGATGCAGAGTTCATTCCAGCGCGGGTGTAAAAAGAGAAACATCTCCGCTCTTGAAATTGAGACAACCCTTAATGCGCGCCTACACAAACAGTGAATTCTTTTTCAGTCACTTAATTCGCTTTATCATCTGCTATTATACCTTTCTTTTCTCTAACTAATTAAATATATTCTAAATTTAAAAACTGCTGTTTTCCCAGCAAAATGTCTCAAAAAGGACAAACAATTCACTCAAAAGGGAGAAATATCATAAAAAAGGAGCGAAGTATCATCAAATTTATGAAATATTTAATATTAAAAATATGCACATAAAGTGTGCGAAATAAATACTTTTGTCATACGATCGCCAAATAGCAACCTTGCTCAGGATTGTTCGCATCTTTCTCCCAAAAATAGTATCGTCGCATACCACGTGATGAAGGCGGAGCCAATTCCTGATGAACGAACTATACCTCAAATTCAGTAATCCCTCTCCTTTCTGCAGAGAATATGGATAGTGGGGGAGGAAGGGGGTGCAAAATAACTAATGACGTCATAGCAACAGTTCCGGGCATTTAACTGATAAAACCTCTATTCTATGAAAAAATAAATTTTTAGATTCGTCCTAGGTTAAATCTAGAATCAGTTAGACTCAATCTACTAAGGAGAATTAGTAAGCCAACGAAACTGGGATGCGTCAAATTTCCATTTATATTTACTGCAGTGATATCTTACAATCATCCTCTCACCAATTCATTTACTTCTCCCCCGACTGCAAAACGATTCCTGATTTGAATTCGCATTTTATAAAATATTTTAATTTATAGTAAATTTGCATTTGAAGTTTTCTATGAGAAAAATCAATCCTAAAACATTACGATTTGCCTTTGGCTTAGAATTTTGAAACCTGGCTAAAAATTTTAAATCCTTAGCATGGGTTATGTATATATAGATAGTAATATCATAATTAAAGGTCAGTAATTAAAAAGAGCAANATATATAACTTAAAAAGCTTCAACTAATCTTAGTAATTCACTTACCTAAATCTTTTTCTTAATTTATTATTCTATACAAAATGCTCTCTCTCACACTTTAATATTCACATCCTGTCTTTTAATCTATTTTTGGCTTCAAGTCACGCATCGATTAACATTTTATCGTTTTTCCTTTTGCTAACTCGTGAGAAAGACTTATCCCTTGACCTTTTTAATAGACCAATTTGATTTAAAATTTCCCTTATCCCCTAAAACGAAACATTTTACGAATTTACTTTGCGAAACTTTCCCTAACTTTTATTGAGGAGCTATTTGATTTCGTGTCACTTGGAGGATCGTTTACAGATCTGGATACGTTTGTCCGGTATACCTTACACTGATTTTTTTAAACTTAAAGTGTCATTGCTCCTGCTGTTCCCAACACTGCCCATCGAGATGAAGGATTGCGTTTGTGGTCTTGAATTCGTTCACCATGATGTGGTGGTATCCTATAACGTAACAGTACCCAATATATCTGCGAATGAAAATTCTTATCTTAAGGTATAACTGGTTTTGAACTTTTACCGGATAATCTTAGGTTTTATCAGAATCCTTGGTAAAAGTCCAAATTATATTAAAACAGACTTTGATGATGCACTTTGGCGAATATTAGGTTTTACCGATAACTCCTATGATTTACTAGACTTTGAGCTTTAACAGTGACCAAATCATTCTTAGACCCGCTTTATTATCAAATGTACAATCGTGATGCTTTTCTGACCATTTCTTAATAGGTTTTCAAATTCCAATAATTTTTTATATGACATAACGACGCAAGAATTTTAAATTATATTCATATTCTGACGAACTTAATATGCCACATTCCACACTAATTCAGCTTTGTTTACCAATCGTTTTTTTTTCGTCCGATCAAATCCCCATTTGTTTATTTTTTAATTCTAAGATTCTGATATATGTTATTCGTGATCACAACACACGAATACGCCCTCTAGAGGGGCGGAAATTTTCAGACCATTATTCATTAGAATTTCATTCATTACAATAAGAATAACTGCATAGGTAGGACGTGTTTTTTCCATCAGAAAAGAGAAAACAAAAAATTTCCCTAAGAAAAAAGCTGATGAACTTGACAAAACAATCTAGAACATCGGTAAATCTTTTCGAAACAGAACGCAAGTAACAATTCAAGAGCATTTTTTCATTAATGCTTTTCTGATAGACGAACATCATTTCAGTGAAATGGGAACTTTCGAATTCGTGATGACATACTATTACGGAAGTATATTACGGCAAAATAAATTTCTTAATGATCAATTCAATTTGTATTAAAATGAAGATATTTAAGTTCCTTGCCTACTTCATCTCAATAAATAAATGGGATTTCAGAACCCCTAAGTCAAAATTTTTGATGGTTTACCATTGATGGACCAACATAATCTTGATGGTAACCAGCATAAGCAACCTTCACTTCAATGTAGGAATGCGGACTGATTAATGATGGTCCAACATAATAGCAACTTGTTTTGATGGTTTGTTCATGTGAAACCATCAGAAATTTCCACCATAGTTTCTTAGAAATCATATGTTGTAACGATCCTGAACAACCATTACCCCAATGTAGGAATTTGGACTGATTTATGATGGTCCACCATAAAAAAAAACNAGGTTTTTTACTTAGAAATAATAAAACATTAAACAAATAAGAATATCAGTCAATAAAAATAATCAATCTTCTAAATTTTTAAAAATAAAGAAAACAACAAGTTAAAAACACTTTGCTAAAAAAAATTACCTTTGATTACGTCTGAATTCACAATTATTTTATGACTCACTGGTAAGAAGCTTTTCATGAGTATCATTTCATGCAGTTTGCACTTTTGAATTATTCCCTGAAAATAAATAAGTTTTTAAATCCTATGATGTTATGCTTAAGAACGATTAATACATTTAATAATAATTAAAATAAAGCTAGAATACTTTTTTAAATTAAAAACTACTACAAACATTATTTCAGAATAAAGAAAAAATATAATGAAAAGTTTCCAAATTAACTCAAAATAAATTAAATTTATAAAGTTAAAAGATCATATTTTACTTAAAATAGTTGATACAAGGTTATATAAAAATAGAACATAATTTTAAAAACAGGAGGATTTTATATTATATGTACTAAATTTTGAACTATACAAAGACTACTTTATAGAACTCAACTGATATGGTGCAGTTACAAAAGAAGCTACTTGCAATGATGATTTCCCTCGTATAAAATATCATGCAATAATTTTTAATACTTTGTCTGCGTTTCAAATTATTTTTCTAAACAGAATAATTGTAAAGCAAAAATGACAAAATATAAACCAATTTTGGAAAATAGCTGTTTAATATATGTGTGTATATGCAGGTACACATATTAAGAGCTAATCTTAAAAATTAGTTTACATTTAGTAATTTTTGCTCAAAGTTCAAAATGTGAAGAAAACATGGGAAAGATTACAGCATATTGAAAAAAGAAAATTATTTTTAAAAATAAATTAGAAAAAAATTAATAAAAATCCGGGGGTAAAAAAATAAAGTATAGAATGACGGATGTAGTTACATGACTATGTCCGCTATTTCTTTAGTGATCCTCACACTATTGTATTGATGTATTTTGTAAAGACTATATTGATACAATATTAGAAAGCACTCCTTTTCGCGGATATAATCGTGTGAACTGATGAAGAAATTATATCCCCCCCCGACTTTTATTAATTTCTTTTAAATATTTTTTTCCTTTTTCTTTATTCTGTAAATTTTTCCATGTTTTCTCTACATTTTGAACTTATTTTATGAGTTCTATATGCTTGCAGATTAAGAGCAGTAAATAAAACTTACTGATTTTCTTAATTTTCTTAGTTTTTCTTTTTATTTATTGTGATATATATATATATATATATGCGTGTGTGTAACTTTACAATATAACAATACTTTATTAACTAGAACACCTAAACTTAACTAACAAAGAGATTATTCAGATTGATAATTCTTAGTCACTTCTGTCTTAAGTAATAATCTTCAAATTTTTCTTATTCTTGAATGTTTTCCTTTCAGACAGAAATAAATTAAATGAATTACCAATCTAACAAAGCGCACCCTGAATCATTTTTTAAAGAAAGCAGTTAGCTACAAAAAATTTACTTATCAGTTCAAAATATTCTTTAAAGTGGTAATTCTCAATCTCTTTAATAAAAAAAATATTCAAATAATTATTTCCAAAAAATTTATATATACACTTGAAGGGAAAACAAAACCATAAATTGGGTAGAAAATAATTTTGAATTAAAAAGAATATAGCCTCAATTTGTTTCAACAATCCCCGAGTACAAAAAAACATATTTAAACTACTTAACATTGTTTTATGAATATCTAAGAAATGATGGCATTACACTTTTAGGAAAAGCGACCGACAAAGAAATGATATTCAGAAAATGTCCACGTAAGGAATAATTTGTAAAAATGTCAAATTCAACAAATCTCAAAGTTTCCCAGACAGCAAATTTCGTCCTAAAGACATCCCAAAACATTCCGAACACTCCTGGAACTCACATATCCGTAGAGTGTCAGAAGAAAGAATTTCGTAGGATGTCACAAATAGACAGCAATATGACAGGCCTTTCAAAGGAGTGTTTTAGGAGTCTTGTAGGATCATCGTTCAGCGCATGTGTGTTAACTTGAACTTTACCGTTAATGTTATTTCTTTTATCCAGTGACAAGAGCAATTCTGCTAGTGAAATCTAAACAATAAGGTATTTATAAGCTCAAATATCTTATTAGTTTCTTTTTTGTTTATCTTTCTTTTTTTTATAATCTATTTATATATTTGATTTATAAGTGTACTTGAACCCCGTCATTATCTTTAATATCTCAATTGCAATGTTTACATGCATGTTTGCAATGTTTACATACATTACTAAATGTTTAAATGCGTGGTTTATTTAATTTTTTCATAATTATTGAGGAAGTTTTACTTTTATTATTTCGTGAGGCAAATTTTTATCTGTTCTGATAACTCATTCTTTCTATTATTTTTGTTTTCGTCCTTTATGTTCAACTTGTTATTTGGCATGTTTTTTTGGTAACCCTAAATTAATCATTTCTTCTAATTACAGATGAAACGACATTCAAATTATTTCTATGTTGCTATTCATCTTCTTTATTTAGTATATTGTTATTTTACCATTTTTACATAATTTTTTTCTATAAATTGTCTATGAATGGTGTTTTCAATATAAATGTAAACAATAACAATCTCCAACTCAATACTTGCTACAGCTTATTCTGCTAGGCTATATTTCCAAACGGATAATTTTGCTTTTAACAAAAGAAATAAATTATATAATTTTTAAGCTCAAATCTGTTGTATTTCATAAGATAATAACGATAAGTAATTCTGGTGAGGAAGAAGTGAAAATTTGTTTTATTTCTTTAGAGATGTATTGCGAAAAAGGTAACATGGTTGCTAGATTTTGAATAACTCCCTTTTTTGGCAGTCCTGATTTGGCCTCTTTCCATTTGTTTATTATTGTTTGTTCTTGTTGCAAGCTGTGCATCATCTTACGTTAGCACCTTTAGTGTTGTAAACACAAGTAATAAGTAATCAAATACCACGTTTGCAAGAATCACAATGTTCTCTTGCAAGACTCTCAAAACACGCGTTGTGAGCCAAATGGCTTTAAAATACACCGGAAACAGTAACCTGGAAGTATGGGCGTATAGAGCTTGCAGCGTTCCCTTGTGTAAAAAACACCGTCCATAGGGATTTTTAAAATTAGAGATACTTAGCCAAGTAAATAACCAGGCAAAAGGGCTGCAGGTTTTTTTTCCGTTCTAGTTTGAGTAAATTGCAGCATTTGCTGCAATGAATTAAGTTTTTCTCCATATATGATTGTTCATAATCAATTTGTCTTAAAATTAATAAAAAGTTGCAAAGTTATCTAACTATTATTTTAAATTTAATCAGGCTATCAATTTTAACTGCTGAAGATAATTACATTATTTTCACTATCTCAGTAAATCATAATCTTTTTAAAAATAGTTCTTAATTTATATTTAGTTAAATTATATATTAATTAAATTAATTATTTAAAAAAGAATCATATGGTCGCGATCAAAATGTCTATATGTGTAACTGATTTTATACAGAATAGTGTCTACATTTTCTCATTTTAATGTCATTGTTTCAAAAGTAGTTATTAGAATTTCTCCTGCTTAATGCTTAGTTTCATGCTCACTACTTAGTATTTCAAGAAATACTTTTTTTTAAAAAAAATATTGAAAGGTTAATAAAAGTATTGAAAAAAGTTATTGAATCTGTAAGGAGTTTATTTTCTTTTAAAAAGTTCCTGTAAATATATTTGTCATAATTCACCTCTTGCAATGTGAAGCTGGTTTAAATATGTGTGTTTATATTTTAATTCTTAGTTTATTTTTATAGATATATTTTAGGTATCTTGTGTTTCATAATATGTATTTTTTGACGGGGTTGAAAAATATTCAATGATCTCTTAAGATAAAATATATAGTGCTTTAAAAGTCATATAAAACTTACTTGTAGTTGATCTGCATATTTTCCCACTTATTAAATTTTTGTTAACATTTTTAACTGATAATTGTGGTTGAAACATTTAATTAGTATTTACATATTTGTATTTTTACAAAAAAAAAACTGTTTGCTAAATTTTAGTATTGTCTTTTTCTTGATTCTCCAAGAGCTCGTTCTTTTACAAGGACAGATTTACAATAAACTATTTTCAGAATGAAATTTTGTTTTCTTTAAAATAAATTTTTATTAATTATATCATTTACATGTCAATTTGCTTTTTTAAAATATTGTTATTTGTATAATTTTTTTCCTTTCTCATAGATAGATAGATTTTTCTTTCTACTAGATTGCAAAGTCTTGATGGAACTGATTTTAAAGAACGTAACAAGACGAGCTATTCGTCACATCATGCCTGATGATGTTGTTGAGCTCTAAAGCTGGATGGGCAATAATGAAAAAAAAGATTTTTTGGTTACAGAGTGTCAGGTGCAATTATTGGTAATATTTAATCTCTGTTTATATATATATATATATATTATTCCATTTGTAGTTTGACAGTATATAGTTAAAATTTGTGTTGCTAAAGTTGCCAAACTTTTTAATATACTATAAATTTAGTATTCCATGAATTTTCAATGAGTTTATAAATTTCAAACATTGGAATAATTTATGAGTGTGTTGTTTGAAATAATATTGTTATTAGTATCACCATCTTCTTTTCCAGTCATAGTAGAATGGTAATCATACGATACTACAGTTATCCAACACTTTTTTTGACTTGCACTTTAAAATATTCTGATCATTGTTACATGTGTTTGCACTAATAGCTTTATCATTATTACAGTTGTTGTTACTAGATTATTCTTATAACAATAAACCAAACATGTATCAAATCATTTTATTTTTTGTGAACTAGTATTAAGTTACGTATGATGGGCAATTGAAAAAGCAGCTTAACAAGGTTACCCCATAATATTTTCCCTGAGAGTAACAGAAATCTGGGCTTCTACTAATTTAGTTTGAGATACCTTTTAAATAGGTTCTGAAATAATTTTATGTTTATTCATGAAAATACCTACTGGTTTGTTTATATTTTCTTTTTGTTATGTTTTAGAAGCTGTTTGCAGTGTTTTCACATACACTAAAGTAAATGAAGTTGGAAGCATTATTAGAGGCTGGTTGCGCCATGCTAAAGAAAGAAGAGTTTATTCTGTAAAAAAAACTAAAGAAATAATTGTGCAAATAAAAGTTTTACTTATGTGATTCTAATATTGTTTATTTTTTTCCTATTCTCATATTTATTTGCATACACTAAATTTATGCTGCAAAAAATAGATAAATCCTTAAAACAAGTTATAATTTTTAATATCTTCAAGATACTGATTTAAGTATGCCTTCATCTAACAATTCTTCAGCAAAACATGGCGACAGCTGTTTTAGTTTGTATATAAAAACAGATAATTTTCTAATTTTATTTGTTTTTTAAATTGCATCATTGACACAATAACTAAACAATAAAGTATGTGATCCATAGTATAAAATGTTTGATATGATATTTTGAGTTTTTGATAAAATAGTCACAACTTCATTTAAAAACTTTTGATAGTAAAGAATCCACTTTTCCTTTTGATAGTAAAGAGTTATATATTATTATGGGAAGCTAAAAGCAATAAAATGTATGAATGTGATAAGGAATATTATAAATGTGAGATTTCTAAAAGGTATTTTCTCTAGTTTAATTTTATTAGTACCTACTTTTCTTTATGCACAAAAGGTTTCATATACTCAAAGATGTTTCTGGTGATAAATTAAAATAACAATGATTTAGCAATTTAAAAAAGGATGTTTGCTTTTAAGAAAGATCGATACTTCATTATTAAAAATGTTTTTATATTGTTATTTTCAACTGCATGCATACTCTATAAAAAATGGAATATAATAATAGTGCATAATATTTTTCAAAACATTATCTTATAAGTTAGAAATGGTAAGTTAAAAGTTTTTCTAGAAGGAAAAGAATATATTATTTGTTTTTTATTCCAGATCCTTCCCTCTTAATAAAATTACAAAGGAAAGGTTTCATAAAATCCTAAATCTGCAATCAAACATACACAAAAAAAAAGAAACTTATTAAAAATAATTACATTATTAAAGTCCACTTACCATAGATATTAGAAGGGAAAAATTTTTCATCACATCAGCAGACCTATAAAAATAAAAAGCATGTTTTATTTGTTATTTATGCAATTCCAAATATAAATTTTTAATCTGATTAATAAGACAGAGTAACATATTAAATGCCTTCTTTTAGTCCTCTGTTTAAAGCTCCATATTAAAACTGATTTTGCATTAAATTACAATGTATTTATAGTTATATATATATAGTAAACGCTGTATAAGCAAAAAAACATCACTTTGTTAATGAAAAAATAAGCACTTTTAAGCACCAAAAAGCAAATTATGGCAGAGGGAAACTATCACGATCTCTATTATTATATGACTGTAAATATTTATCAAAACTCAGATATTATTTTCAGTCAAAAATAATAATATAATCAGAATTGATAAATGAATTAAATATTAATTTTTAGAAAAGTGACTAAGGAAACTGAATCAAAATTTGAAATAAAAAGAAGTTATTTTCTAATTTAGCAATTTGAAAATAAAATATTTTCAAAAAAATATAGATGAAAGGAAGGGAGAAAAAATATACTACAGTGATTCAATTATTCTCAAGTAACCAATTAGTCTTAATTACCTCACAAGTAGATAATGATGCCGGACAGCTTATTTTCATTTAAAAATTTATCATGCCATATTTTAATAAAAAATAAATTTAAAAAAAATAGTTAAAAAGGGGAATACCAATTTCAAAGCAAAATATTTAATATAAGTTTGGGATTTTGGAATAATACTCTTGATTAATATTTTCTGAAATATTAATTTTGAATAAATCAATAGTGGATCTTCTCATGGGAAGCTTATAGAAAAAATAAAATCACTGCATACACTGCACCACAATCACGCAAAACATTGTGATAATTTAACCTTTAAATATAGATAGGTCACAGCATCTCTACAGAAAGAAAATTACTATACTATTTTTTAGAAAATACAATTTTCAGAATTAGACATAAAATTATTACAGCAACTTATACAGGCTAATCAGTAATAATACAAAAAAAACTTTTACTTTAGTTTTATCATTTTATTTATTGAACCAAAGATAAAATAAAAAATGTGTCATTTATACATTATATCATCAATAAAAAGAACCATTTGTTAATCAATTTTAAGAGAATAGAAAAAATTTTAAATTCTAGGAGAAAAATACAGTTTATTAAAAATTAAAAACTTGAGTCGTACTTTGAGGTTAGTTTGAGATAACTGTAAGGATTAAAATGAGACCAATGTATAAGGTAATTTTACACACACTAAAATAATGATATATACCCTGAGATTACTGTTCCAACAGTAAAATTTAAAATTTCCTTCATCTCCAATTTTAATTACATTAATTAATACCATAAACTACAGTAAGTATTAGACAATTAATTATTATTATGTTCGAAATATTAATTACGCATAATTCCAACCAAAACTACACATCAGTAAGGCACCAAACAAACTCCAAATTGCAAAGTTACCTTTTTCCCATGTCATAGCAAGAGCTCCTCCATCAGTTGTCCATTTCAAATTTAATACGGCTCCTGCAGCTGTTTTGACATCTATTTACATACATTAGAAACCTTTCATTAAAGCAAACAAACAGAACCAATAAAGGTGCAAAAAACTTAAATTACAGATAATAAGAATGATTAGTTTACCAGGAAAGTCTTTACTGGATAATACTAATTGATGTGTGGATTGTAGAGCACCTGTTAAATCGTCAATGCAGAAAATGATTCCTTAAGCACTGAAATTGTATTAAAAAAACATATAATTAAAAAAAGCATAGTTTAAAAAATTTTAAATAACAAAAAATTAAGAAGTATGAATAATCACATTGCTATAAGAATTGTAATATAATGGTTGAGTGTTTTCAAAATCTCAACAAGTCCATAAAATAGAATTTTCAGGATAATAAGCTTCTAAGGGAAACAACGATCAAAACAAACACTATTTAATAAAAAAATTAACTACAATCTTTAGGTAAAAATAGTTTAATGACATTTAATTAAATAAAGGGATTCGAGATAAAGGATTCGATGATTAAGTGATGATGATTAGTTAGATTTTTCATGAACTGGGAAATGAAAGGAACGACATTTCAAGCATACATTAAAGATCAAATTTATTTATTTTTCTGTCAATTAATTTATTCCCTTTTAAACAAAAAATAAATATTTGTACAAGGAAAAAAACTGTCACGGATTTGCATAATAATATCATTTCTATTCATTTGTTTAGAACTAGAAATAGCCTTTAATCTTATTTTCTAACAAGATATTCAAGTAAAATTTTTATAAGATTGTAATTCCTTTTATTCAAATAAAACAATTTAAGTCATAACAGAGAATATATTTTGCTTTTTCATGATCTTTTAATAAATAATAGATCTCGCAAAACCATCATATCAGTATAAAAAGGAACTGGTTTATACAAAAACCTGCTTTCTTTGCAACCACTACATGTCTATGACTGAAGAGTACCTCAGTATATGCTCTAATATTCTCAAAAATTTTCTATTTTATAGCACTGACAATTCCTATGGATATTGTTTTAATTTTTCTTTACTATATTGTCCTGCTTGTCATACAATAATTGACAGATTACTGGCAAAGGTTAAAAAAACAATTCATATGTTAAAAAAAACTAGCAATAATATAATTTTACTCTTGCAAAAGATGAAAAGAAACAGCCATACAAAGGCTCACATATTTCATTCCCACAAAAAAATTTATGAGAAAAGTTACAACAGTTATTTCAAATTTCAAAAGAAAAATCATTAATAACTCTGAACTTAATAATAAATAAACTTAGCAATTAAAATACAGAACACTATCGATAGTGCAGATAATTAAAAAAAAAATTAGGCATACTTTGTTTGCCCATAAGCAATGACTCGAAACCTATGATTCACAGCTGTACAAGTAGCATTCTGAACATCATTAGCAAAGATTCCAAAAACTTGCTGCAAGAAATACAAAATAGTTACTAAGAAAAAAAACTTAAGACTCTTATCATAAATAATAATTGCTGGAAAAAATCCACTTAGAACCATATCATATTTTAAAAATAATAAGATAAAAAAAGTTTGATATAGATAATAAATTTAAAAACTCAAAACAATAAAATTTTACTTGAATTTATAAAAACAAATGATTATCATAAATAAAAGCATATTCTTTGACTACTTCAGAATTTCCGTATTTTATGTCTTTTGTTTTTTATTCTCAAAAGTTTTATAAATATTCTATTTTAAATACTTCTGTTTTAATTCCCTGCCACTGAAAAAAATATTCTACCAAAGTCAAAAATGTTGGGGGTTTAATAAAGGCATTCAATTGATAAAACCTCTTTAAGCTATATTGTTTTTATCATTAGTTATTTGAATATATGTACATCAGAAAAAACTACATTAAAGTTTTACATAAATTAAATAAAACTACAAGTTTTGCTTATTTACTCTAGGCTCCTAAAACAGAAATTCACAAAACTATGATATATGTCACACCACAAATTATGCTTCACATAAATTGTAATATAAATTACAATTTAAGTATACAATTTATGCACATTTCTTCTTTTTTGTTAACAATTTAAGTTTCATTAAGTAAGCATGCATACATAATTTTATATATAACTAATTAAGGCTTCTTTTTGAGAATTCAGTGTGCAAGAATAAAAATAATTGGTCATTAAAAAGAATGGTAATGGATAACAAATGAGAGTCGTTTATATTTGACAATACTCACAAAACATTTGCAACTGTCAAAAGATTTGTTGTAATACATTAGATATAATTCTGCTCCAGGAAAGAGCTATGAACTTTCAATACTAAAAATTAACATCTAAATATAAGGTGAAGAAAATATTTTTTCTTACTCAATACTATCAAAACATTTTATACAATAAATTTTTATGTGTACATAAACTTTTAATAATTTACACAACAAAAAGGAATCATTACATACATGAGGCTCAAACTTCAATGTAGTAGCAGTAATAAAACAGGCTTGACCATTTGATAGTACAACTCAAAACCCTCCCATGATGGGAGAATATTCCATATTTTTTATATGGATTTGTGCATCATGAAATTTGGATCCTTAAATGGAGGATGGAAAAATTAAAGTAAGATTTATGGTATATATTCATAACAAAACATTAAAAAATTAATAAAATGCAAAGAATTTAATAAGTAACTATGGTAAGGAACTTAAAGGTGCTACACATTATACAAAAGGTGGAGAAACGAAGGCCTCCATGAGTTTCTTGTGTGACTCTTTTATTAATTGATATTTAATTATATAGATTATAACAATTTGAAAATTAATAGAAATAAATAATGTGCTACCATCTGTTGAGCATGACATGAATTAGTTGTGGTGTAGTTCTAGCAATTTTTCAGTCTGAAATTATTGTTGCACACTTTCCAATTTGCCAACAACAGAAAATCTTTTTGGCCACGGCTCTAAAATACACTAACACTGTGATGTTCTGAGTGACAGGCAGTAACTATTTTCCTAACTAATAGCAACTCCCATGTTGGTGGTATGTATTTATCTGTATATGCTTGTAGCCATATACACAAACATACGTAGCTATTTATTAAAAGATTATTTTTTACTGTAAATTATATTTCAAGAAATGACTTAATGTTTTTTGCATAATTTCTATGTAAAGCAATAAAGTGATAAACTAAACAAAAACTATAATAATTTCAAAAAAAGTAGCATTCAATTTCAAAATATGTGCTTATCAACTTATGCGGCCTCTTTTACCAATGCCTAATTTAAATGTGGCCTCTCACAGTAAAAATGTTCCCTTTCTTTGCACTATGCTATTGCAAATAAATAAAATAAATCCTTGATTGAACGACTTTTTTAAATGACTGACAACTGAAGTTGACATAAAAGTGGAGAAAAAAGTATGACATTCATCACAGAAAAAAAAGAATTTAAAAATTAAATATTATTAACATTTTGTTCCAAGTCAAAGCAATGTTTGCACATCACAGCATGAAAATCATGAATGAAAAGCCAAAATTTTCATACGCTATATAATATTTGCTAATCAAATAAATAAAAAAATGATAAACATTCATTTTTTTAAATAAAAAAAATTACAATATTTTAATACAATAATTAAAATTTTGGTACCATTTATCTTGGTATTCGTACCTGTGTCACACATTATTGGGAAGTAAACTCTATCCCTGGAGCAACAACGACTCTCTTTTCTTCATTTACACTAAAATACTTGTTTTTTGGTGAAACGCCAACTGTTAACTCTTTGGACAAAGTCTTTAACTTTGATTAAGTGTTTTTTTATTGCTTCTCTGCTATGATTTCATCATTTTTAATAAAGGTTAAGAGAAATATTGAGGTTCATTTAACTTAGTATCCACACTATTTGCTTTACAAATTAATCTGCTCATTAATCACTTTCTGCTTCTACAAAAAGTTTGTTATTTTCAATTTCCTATGTTGGAACATTAAGCTTTATTCAAATTAAATATCTACCGTTTTGTTCATTTAAACTAAACTTCCCATTTCTTCGAATCAGACAGAAAAATAATTGTTTCTTGCAGAAAACATCGCCTATTAGCACTTTGAATAATACCTTCAATTATGATTAACTGCCCGATAAATTAAAGAAAAATAATTGATTAACTAAAAAGGTCTATCTCCACCAATTTTTTTCAAAATCCATATGGTTTTTCGCTCGTTTTTAGGCATTTCTACATAGTTTTTCAGATTTCAATATTTTTAATAAAGTATTACTAAAACACACAAATTTTGAATATGAGTCATTTCTTAAGCGTTTAGTTTTAAACAATTTCACCGTTCGATTTTGCAACACTTTGATCGTTTTTTCAACCATTTCCACATATTTTTTTTCCATCAAATTCCAATATTTTTAATTGACTTTATTATGACAAAAAATTTTTTTCAATTTGAATTAGCAACCCTCCCAAATCTGTCTTATTTTCTTATTGAATTCCATTATGTTTACGACAATATGCAAATTTGAGTTATTAATTTTTTACATGCTTGATTCTTAACAGTTCTATAGTAAATTCCTGTCGTTTCTAATATTTTTTTTATTTTTAAATTTCCAATGTCTTCAATACAATCTTATTAAAAAAAAGGATTTCAAATTTGATTCAACACATTTTAAATGCACTTCTTACACAACGATTTCATCGTAAATACGAATAATTTTTTTTATCTTTTTCGATCATTTCAACATAATTTTTTAAATTTTGAGGTTACTACAACACAAATTTTTTTTTATTTGAGCTATTTCTTTTTGATATGCTTGATTCACCTCGACTACATCATAAAAATCTAAGTTGCTTGTTGATAATTTTTAAGTAGGTTATATAATGTTTTTTTAGTCATTACCATGTGATTGTTGAAACAAAGGTTGAAAAAAAAAATTCTAAAACTTTTAATATAACCAAATTTCAAATTTGAGTTATCCGTTTTTGACGAGCACAGTTTTCGACAACTCTATTGTATATTCACACCATATTCTGTAGTTATCATTGTTCCATATATAGCTTTTTTAATGCTGATGCTTTTAATACAATGACAAGTGACTATTATGACACGTGAATTTGGAATTTGAGGTATCACTTTTAATCATTCGGTTTATAACAATTACGTCATAAATCCACATTGATTTCTGAACATGCTTTTTATTAGATTTTTATTGTTGTTTAATCATTTTCATATAATTTTTTTAACTCAAATATTATTAGTTATTAGTTAATATTATTACAACACGCAAATTTTAAAAATTCATATAATTTTTTAAGGACCTCGAGGATCCTATTTTAAATTTTTTTCTTCTTTTTGGGTGGTTGTACTTTATCTCTTTTAATAAATTTCAACTAAAGGTTCTTCTTTCAACCTTTTTACTCTTTAAAAGAGCATAGGACTTCACTTATGCTTCCTTACCTCTCTAATTTTTCTTTGGACAACCACTGATTTGTTTAGTTTATATAAGTCAACCGACTACAATTCAGTGTATACTGAGCACAAGGTAATGAATAAATATGCTTTGCACATTGAAAGAATCTTTTGAATATAAATTCTTGTTACAAAGAAGAACTTACCTCTAGATTGCAGCTGATCTAAGCGAAATGAGATATTGCATAAAATTAGAGTGTAATCCTCATCTAATTTGGCATCCCATCTTACCCGCCAAAAATGACCATCTAGAGTGGTAACCATAAGCTCATCTCGAATACACACAAGACTAAAAGAATATAAGACAAATTTTCTTTAAAAAGCCACAAAAAAAGCAATTGGTTAAAAAAAAATTTTTTTTTTTAAATTATACAGCTAGATAATTTTTCTATTTTAAATTCAATCAATATGAAATATTTTTGTGTTGGAAAGCTATTTCATGAAATTTGTTTTCATTAATTAAATTACATAACGTGAAAAAAATATTTAGATTAGGGGAGTACAACTTTCATTGAAAGGCCACAGTAAACCATCATTTGGTTTATAGTATCAGTTTATAGGTTAATGAAAAAAAAATTTAAATTTCTGTTTAGAAAACTAGTTCTATTCCTTTAAGTCTAAATGAATTTCTGCATCTTTGATTTTTAAATAAATTCTTGAATTGCAAGTGTTTTGGTTACAGAACATTTTTTTAAATTAAAAAAGAAGTGTTTAAATTTTAGACACTTGAATTAGCATTTCTACATATTGGAATTTTAAAGCTATAATTTTTTATCTCTTTTATAAAAAAACTGTTATCAGTTAGAAAAAACAATTAGCATTTTTTCTTATACAAGTTATTTAGTTTTTAAACTAGTATATAGAGAATAATCTTTCAATTGCAAAATGGCAAGGCTCTCAATAAGGCCTTGAAGACCAAAACAAAGTACTTGTTTTGTACTAAAAGTAAAAAGTAAGAAAGAAACGAGAAGAAAAGTGAAAAAGTGTTTAGAAACTGAAAATTTCTGTCAATAGTACATTTAAAATGCCTTACTGAGACTATTCTAAGTAACTAATGAGGATTATTTCGATTCACTGTCGACAAATGCACGAAAGCATAAAATGATATTTCCAAAAAATATTAACCTGTATATTAATGAGTCAAGGGATAAATTGTTCACAAGTTCTAGTGAAAGAGGTGGCACTTTTTCTTTCAAAAACAGCTCATCGCCTTCTCTACGTACAACAGAGACCCTATAAAAAATAACATGAAAAATGTTTACTTAAATGCAATAACAAAACTACAGTTTTTACCAAAGCAAAAACATTGAAGTTTATTTGAAAAATACATAATAAACAAAGAATAAAATTAAATGGATTTATTCAACAGTATTTAAAATTAACTAATTGATAACCAAACATATACAACCATACAAAAATACTTAAAATTATTACTATTAAGAGAGAAACTTCTACAAAATAAAAACTTCTTTTCCTTATTATTTTATTTCCTTACCATTTTACTTCCTTACTATTTTTTTCCTTATTGTTTTATTTCTTTAATTTTTTATATTCTTTCATTTTAGAATAAAAATTTAGAATACTGACATCTTTTAACCATGCCGAATTTGAGGTATACTGTAATTTTTAAATTTCCATGATTTTAACTGCAATTTATTTTGCTATATAAGATTTGGTAGATTAATTTTAGTTTTTAAAGAAATCATATCAGAAGTCTTAATTTATAAATCAAAGTAAATTTATAAGGGGACAATTGACATTTCTAAATTGATTTAAAAATCATTAATTTAATTATTTCAAATCATTTTGTTACAAAAATTGGAAATCCTCATATTACTCAATTAAAATTTTTTTCTATGTGAGGTACAACATTTGAGAAACTTTTTACCTGTAGACCCTAAACTAACTTAGTTTGATTTACAACCAGTTTGCTTTTCTGTGGTAAGAACTGTTTTCCTTGAATATAATTCAATAAAACTGAACTTGGCAAGAAATTTTTTACGAATTACATAGTGCAAATTTGCCCAAGTCACCAATGAGTAAAAATGAAATTATGTTGTACTTTTTCAATAAATTTTCACTTATTTTAATTATTGTTTTGCAAATATCTAACTAAATAAATATTAATAATTGATAACAAAATATTGTACAAAAGCATTAAAGTGAAATAAAAGAAATATATTACTTGCTATCCAACTGCTCATATAGAAATTTTAAAGAATCATCAATATCAACTCGATAAAACATCAGATAGTTGAGGCTAGTCTGAAAAAGAATAAGCAGTTAGTAATATTAAACATTAACTACTAAAAAAACAACAGAGATGTTTTTTTTATAACCAGCATAAGGTGACGCACAAGTGTGTTGCAAAGAAATTTGAGCTGTGTTATAAAAATTATTGAAATTTCATATTATAATTCACCAGTTTACTATGATTTTCGTAAAACTTTATGAAATAAACTTTCTGATAACATCTAAAATGTTTAAGAATTTATTACATAAAAATGTTACCGTTGTAAAACTGGTAGAGTTCTCTCTAGGAATAAAAAAAGCAGGATGCTTCCTCATAGAAAAGGGCATTTTGAGTTTGCAAAGGGTACTAAATTATCATACAGATTTATCAAAATGGGACGGGAAAAAAACTTCATCAAATCTACAATATATAATATATATAAATTAATAATATAATATATATAAATTAATAATAGCTGCACATAAATTTTTTTCAAAGGAAGTGAACTAAAATTATTTATTGATAGACATGAAAGCTATAATGTAAAATCTATAAATGAGATCTATAATTTAAACAGTAAAATTATGAGAAAACTAAAATTTAAATGTGAATTTTAAGAAAAAGTGTACTTATTTTTAAAAAAAATAACTTTAATATTTAAAATCACTTAAAAAATTTATTAACATACCCCCCCCCGAAAAAAAAGAAAAACTTAATTTAAAAATTTAACTAGTTGAGAACAATCCTAACAAAATAAATATTTGTATAAACACAAATAATTTTACCATTATGTAATTATTATTTAAACAGTGAATTACTTTTTTTAAAAATGTTTTTCAAAGGCAGACAAGCCGCCATTTGAAAAACACTTAGGAAGAACTCTGAAACTCGTACAGTTAATACTGGTAATCTTTAAAGAATGAGGCTGAGACTTATTTAGATATTTATCAATTATTCATGAATCAATTATTACCAACTGTTCATGAAAATTATTTCAATGCAATAATAATCATCAGTTAGTTTTTTTTAAATTGCCAATTTCTTTGAATTAAGTGATTAGTATAGTTAAATATGGATGAAAGAATTAACAATTTCAATTAAAATACTTAATTTTGTTATCCTTTTAATATTCTATCTGATTTATTACATTATAATGACATATTTTTTAAAATGCTAACTTAAAATTTGCATTGTGAAAGAATTTACTTTAAGTTTGAATTAACTTAAATTTAAACTAATTAACTGATTAATTTAAGTTACACTAATTAACTTAAATTTAGTTTGAATTAACTTAAATTTACTTAAAGGTGAATACACTAAATCAGAAGGAAACTCCAGGATAAAACTAGAAATAAGTATCTAAGCTTTATAAGCTGCTGAGAGCATTTATAGAAGAAATGAATGACTTGGAAGACAGGGTGGCCATTCAAATCAGATTTCAAATTTCCCTGATATTTCCAGGTTTTCCAGGTAAAAATTTTAAAATTTCCAGGTCCGTGTTTTTTTGCTTATAAAGTGTAGGACATATACAAGAAAAATGTCGTTATTATAAAATATTTTATTCAAAAAATAATTTTTTTTAACGTATCTTTAAAAAAAAAATTTTTTTTGACAAGATTTTGTTTTTTAATGTTTTGCAACATTTACAACATTAATAATTTACAACATTAATTTTTAAAAATTTAAGACACGCGGAGAAAATAATATGCTTAGCTTGTCGGATATATTGCTTTCATTGAATAAATATTTTTTAATGTTTTACTTTAAGTAGTATTTGCTCAAAGTGTACCTACAAAATGGCAAAAACAGAATGACCAATAAAACCCTGTTTAAGTATTGTTTAATATATTTTCATTAAGTAAAGGAAAACAGTCTCAGGTGATTATATATCAATAAATTCTTATAATTACTGTGGCTCCCAAAAGTGCTCCCTCATTTATAACTTTTATTGAAAAAGGAAATAAAACTTCATGGAATATTTCAAAAACAAAGCAAAAGTTAATTTTTCAGATATCAATAATCAAATAGTAACAAACATTTTACCCGACGAAAACCATCGGACAGTTAAATGTTTTCGGATTTCAGAATTAAAATTATCTTCATTTGCTTTAATTTTTTTATTTAATTATTATTCATTTAATTTTTTATTTATTTTTTTGCAATTTAGTATCAAACTTATGATAGCAAAATTATATTTTAATTTTTGCTTACTAACTTTGTAATATTTTATTATTAAAAAGCGGCTCGTGGTCCTAATAAAACAATAGACCAAATTTGATTATTTGTCATCATAAGAGGTATGCACTGTGCAATATATGATAAAATGCATAAAAGGAGGACTTCAAATCAGAGATTAAAATTATAAAATTTGTGGAAAAATTCATAAATTCGCAATAGAGTGATGCAAAAATTTCTGTAAAATTTTTTAAAAAATATTCTGAACAAATTTCTCCCGACAAAAAAAAAACTAGTTTATATTTACAAACTTATAAAAGCTATAGTAGATGCGAAAGGAAACTACTAAATGTTAATTTAATGAAAAATTAGAATATTTACTAAAACAGATTTAAATTTTTTTTTTTGAAAGTGTACAATGGCTTTTGTGGGATAAAGTTTTTGTCACTTTTTGATGATTGATTTCTTCAAAATAAACTTTTC